GGAGCTGGAGGAAGTGTCTGGAGAGAGGGAAGTCTGGGCATCTTTGCTTAGACTGCTGCCCCCGCGACCCGGTTCCGGATAAGCGGAGAAAAATGGATAGATGGATGGATGGTCCCTGTTTGTGACTTGGCTTGTCAACGTCACATTAAAGCTGTAATCCTTCAGTACTGATGAATCTGGCGACACTGGTGGTGAGTGTGATAAGCAGGCTACTTCTCTCATTACTACAGCAAACACATGCTGAGCCACTGCCCATGTACAACAACAAACACAACACAGCAGCCAGTGCAGCTAAACAATCCCGTGTTGTTTTAATGAAGAAGTAGCTGTTCAGCTTGTCCCCTCTGCTCTCTGTCTTTCCATTACTCCCTTGCAAAAAGTATCACTAATCTCATAGTGAGAAGTGTTGGAAAATTGAAGTTTCTTCTTAAAACCATTAACATTGTTGAGATGTTTGTGTTGCGATGTTGCAGTTTTAATGCAGCTCATAATTAGCCTACATTTATCAGCCTGCGTTAACACAACCGCTGCTTTCTTGTCCAATGCCACCCCCACGTTAACTTTGATGCTACATGAGAGCGAATGCATTATCTCGTCTGACATCTTGTGATGTGGTCTATCTTCTCCTCCTCTCTGTATGGGTGCAGGCAGTCAGACCTTGGTGAGCTCTGTGTAATCAGCAGTTTAGTTTCATGCTTAAAGGGTCAAAGGTCAAATTGGAAGGTGTTGGACCTTCATATCTCACAGTGTACAACAGAAAGAGGAGAGGACAATTTAACCTTAACATTTGCCTGCAGGAACATCCCCATAAAGAAAATCCTCAAGGAGAACTGCTCTAATTCATGTATCACATATAACATTTACTGCTATGATTCCTTGGTTTTACAGCTCGAATCCTGTGTGATTACACATTTCCTCCATCTGATCTCTGCACTGTCTCCACAGTAAAACTTTGTGATTCAGCTGAATCAGAGAAACAGATGAAACTCAGTGTCCTGACTGCAGCAGGATAATGAATTTACACAACATGATTTTCTCTGCTCGTGTTATTGTTTTTTATCCAATCACAGCCGACATGTCATCTATTTATAAACGAGAGGAAAGAACACAAACTGACATGTGGCTGATGTGAGCTTTTATTATCTGCAATCTTTTTTATTTCCCTGCAAATTGAAAATAAGAATAACAATCACAGAGCAGGACAACTGGAGTCACTGAGTTTGTCCTGAGAGTGAAGACAGGGGAATAATGATGAGACAGAAATTGGTTTTG